AAGTAACAAGGTTCCCCCGTCACAACACAGTGACACGTTCACACGCGGAAAATACTTCGCACGCTCGATTGCCTATTGCTTCCGTAACAGCGATATTTCCACGAGGATACATGCGCGTAGCTAGCCGGCTCGCCTCGTCGCGAGACTCGCTCTCCCTCGAGCGGAAAATTGACATAAACTGTTGCTTCTGCTACTCCTTCACGCTCCTCTCTGTTCAAAGCGCCGCGCCGTCGCGTCGCCGCGCGCCGATTGCAGACTCTTCGTTCCACGCGCCAGAGACAGATCGTCGTCGTGACGCTCTCTCGACGTGAAAGTAGCTTTTCAGATTTACTGCCTTCTGACGAACGCGCCGGCTGCCAAAACGCGAGAAAGTCGAGATAACGATTTGTTCGAGAAGTTGTACGATAATTGCGTTACTCGGAGGCAGAGTTTCAAGATTTTGAGGATTCGAATAAGTATATAATCGTATCTTTAAGAAAGGAAATAATAAAGAGGGACACAATTGAAGAAATAACGATGAGAAGCTGTCGATATTTTAAGTTGTTACAACTTTGGAAGAAAGAAATCATGCAACAGTCTAGTTGGTCTCATTTTAAGATCCTACGTACTGAGCTAGTTTTCTTTTTTTTTTTTTTCAAGAAGTTTTTACGTAGGAAGAAAAGTGAACTTCTATTCTAGAAAATTGTAAAAATTCAAATACCTTACTGAACAATTTTCTTCATAACTAGATCCACCATAGTTTTGACGATTGAAATTTTCTCTTTATAACGACCCCTTAATCCATTAAGAATCATTAATTTGCCATAATATTGTAGATACTTCGAGTTCTTAAAATTTCACAAAATTCTAGAATCAAAGAAATATTAAACGAATTCGTAGAATTCCTTTTTACAGTTCACTATTCAAAAATATTTCACTATTAAAAAACAGAATTTGATGACATAAATTGATCGAAAACAGTTACAAATAAAATGAATTAAAACACGCTAGGTACGATATCTCTTCACTTAACTTTTGAACATTAGAGTTGGAACATGAAATGTTAGGATCTCTCGAATTTTTTATGTTACACGCACGAAGATCGAATGAATTTAACGCGTATAATTTATTTACGAAAAATCTGTTTCATAAATATAAAGATCGAGCGAGTTTATCGCGTGTAATTTATTGAAGAAATACGTGATTCATGAAAATCATACGATATTTTGGAACAGTGTAGTTCTCATTACACTCTCAGATAAAGTAAATTTATCGCAGGAAATTATTATGTGATGAATGGAGTAGACTTGAATTTTTGCCTCGTTCTATTATTAACTGCGAGAGATATCATTTTTAAAGAGAGATATTATTCAAGCGATAAATCCCAGCTGAACAGAAACAGACGTAGCAAGTCAGCGATTTCTTGCAGCAATGTCAAAGCAAAAACTCTACTGCCCGTTCTTCCGCCTCTTCCTGAATAAACCTCCAAATTTAGTGAAAGCTGATAAATTCAGGTTACGAGTGCTCAGTTACATGTTGCAGAACACTCGGAATATTAAAACGAGGAACTAGGAATTGAAACGTTGATATTATTGAGACAACGTGGCCACTGGAATTTACTTTTCCATAAAATTATCATATCTCTTTTTTCAAACGATATTCTCTTGATACAATCAGAATCATTAAGAGATACAGCATGTTTGAAATTGTAGTGGATACAAGTCGAAAAAGAAAGAGTAATACTTTTTCATTTAAAACTTCATTTTCAAGAGGACCGACTTTCGAAATTTGTAAAATATAGTATTCGGATGTCACAAAATATTCTTTTTTTCTTTTTTTGCTGCATTGTAATTTAGATAATCATGTACATGTAACATGAAAACGCTGGATCTAATTAGCAGTGGTATAAATATAGTTTATAACGTATGTTCTAAATAAATAAGATAATGTTTGTTTTTAATGTTATTTCAATATTCACGAGGGATCAAAAAGCAAGTGAATAATAAGAAAACAGAATTAGAGTGAACAATTAATTCGATACACGTGATATTTCATTTTCTCTGAGACGAGATACGTTAGGAAAGAATTTCATTCTACTTGCTCCAGCAAACACGAGTGTACTTGATAAATTTTCAAACTCGATTCTCTCGAATGTCTCAAACGGTAAAGTGTTATCTTTTCATTTCGACTTATTTATAATATCGATTATAAATAAATAAATATTGATCATCAAGTTAACTATAATAAATAACAGAATGTTCACCGTCGAAGTGTACAAGAATTATTGGAATTCTACATGCGTTTGAGTATGAATGAGCACGGGAGCGAGTTCGTTTCATAGATTCTCATTCTTTCTCTCGTCAGGTCGGGAACGCAAAAATTGTTTTACGCGGCAGGCCGCGTCGCTATTGGTTTCACACCAATCCACTATACATGCGAGAATATACGCCGTTTGTTACAACGTGCAATATTTGCGCAATTCTTTCTATCAACAGATCCTGTTTGGAAAAAATTCTCGAACGCGGCCACCGCGAGGAAATAAAAATCTTTTCTTTCTGCTATTTACAGCACGCGGCGCATTGTCCTGTTTTGCGCGGCGTTTTGATAATTCGCGTGCACGTCGTTGAAGGTGTTTTTACAAATTGAATCACAGCCCGAGTGACGCGAGCCGCGTGCTGAGAATTTCATCCGAGATATATTGCATTTAGGTAAAAATGAAACTTGTGCCAATTATGAAAATAAATCAATCG